CCCCAAAACCCCAAAACCCCAAAACCCCAAAACCCCAAAATTTTAAGTCATTATTGAAAAATAAAATTATTGCAACTTCATTTTATCTTTAAGCATGAGCTTGATTTTAATATTATTCGAGATGATCTTCGAATCTTGGTTCTTGGCTCTTGAGAGACCATACTTGGAATTAAACTTTTGATAAATTTCCCTATTCAGCTTCTCCTTTTTCTCTTCATCGTTAACTACAGTACCTAGAAAAGATGAAAAGATGAGATTTACCTTGAGCAAAGAAGTTATCAATCAGTTCTCGTCTGTTAAAATCCATGAAAAGTAATGAAGCTGGGTATTCCCCACCTTTAAATTTCTCACTCTTTATAAACAAAGTCTCCATCTTCTTCGGAGTTTGAGGTCTTGAGCCATGAGAGCTGAAATCTTAGGAAGTAGAACTTACTCTTTACCAGAAGAGATTTCCCTCATGAATGTATCTTCATCTTCTCTATTTTTGAAATTTTTACCTCTTCCAGAAGATTTCAAGAACATCTCATACATATTTTGCATCCGGTCAACTTCTATTTTCGACTAAATCTTATAATAATATGCTACCTTTATTCTCCGATGTGAAGGATTAGTGTTCTCTAAACTGCTGAAATTCTTCTTCCTGTATGAATCAAGAATTCTGAATACCTCACAAAGTCGTTATGATTAACGAATGGCATCTTAGCCGATGCTTGACCTCCTTCAAAAGTAGCCCCTGTATTTCCAGAGTAAAAAGTGATTCGTTTTGAATTCTTTCAACTAGGATTCTTATTTACTTCTAGAACTTGCTAAATCTTATGAACAATAACAGTACTAGCGGCCTTTGGGTTGATAAGAACAGGAGGTTTGAAATGAAATGACTTCTGAACCATAACATTGTCTTTGAGTCTCAAATGACCCTTAGGTATTTCACTTCTTCGCTTACATATTCAATAATTAGAATTGTTATAGATAGTCCTGAAGAGCTAAATTAGCAAACAAATTACTTTCTTTTAATAATTGTATTAGTCAGCTTTGAGATAGTGTAGCCTTCTAGATAAGGTCAGAGCTAGTTACAGAGTGAAGGGCTCATACTTACGCTTAAACTTATTTACATCTCCTACAGTAAGGATTTTTGTTCCCTTTCAGTTGGACTACTGAAGAAACTTCGTTAGTGATCCTTTGTGAGTCCACATTGGTCTGAAGGTTCCTTAATCCTTCATTTGTTAACGGGGATGAGGGAAAGATAAGCTTTTTCCTTCCTACCTTTTGAAATGATTTTCGAAAAGAAGAGTTCCACTCTGTTGTATTCGAAAGAGAAGGCTTGATATTCATTGCTAAAGCATTTGTGTTTAAACTTTAAGGCATAGCTCATGGCATTATCGAATGAGTTTAGAAAATAAAATTATGAGTAGCTTACAAGAAGAATTCAAGCTCTTTATGACCTTGTTATAACTTTTGAATATGTCTAGATTAACTGACATTGGTAAATCAAAGAAATTTTCAATTATATAAATTCTTAGAGGGGTTTTGGGGTTTTGGGGTTTTGGGGTTTTGGGGTTTTGGGG